CATTCTGGAGTTCCAACGTGGCACGCTACCATTGGTCAGTAGCAATATATGTCGTTTATTGGATTGGCTGAATTAGGATGTTGATTTAACTTAAGCAAACATCTATAAATACTTACGATTTTCTGTACAAAACTGATCCTTGCAGTAAAGGTTTTCTCTGCTACTCGTGTCTTCTCTCTGGTCTTCAAGTTGCTGAGTAGTGCTAGCCTGGGGTTATTCGTATAGCTTAGGATCTGAATAAGCGTTCAACCTACAGGACATATCAGTGGCGACGGGAAAATGACAATGAATATTTCTCTGGAGCAATTAGAAGCCTATATGGTGCGTCAAGAAAAGAGGTTTGAAGAGTCCCAAATTAGAATCATGGAAACCCTGATGCAGAAATTATTCCTGTCCGAGAGAAACCCTGCTTCCAGTGAATCACAAGTACCACATACTGATTCAGTCATTAACGCCATACATGAATTTAATTTTGATGGTGTAGCAGGTATAACTTTTGAGTCGTGGTTTAAGAAGTATGAAGATTTGTTTTATATTGATCTTTGCAACCTGAATGATGCTTCGAAAGTCAGAATACTTCTCAGAAAACTCGGGACTGTGGAACATGAACGCTACAGCAACTTCATTCTCCCGAAGAACCCACGAGATTTTAGTTTTGATGAAACAGTCAAAACCCTGTCCCAAATTTTCGGAGAACAATCATCTTTATTTAATATCCGTTATCAGTGTTTAAAGTTAACGAAAGAATCTGGAGATGATTGGGTGAAACATGCAGGAACTGTGAACCGTGAATGCGAGAGGTTCAAATTATCGTCCATGTCTGAGGACCAGTTTAAATGTTTAGTATTTATCTGCAGCCTGCGTTCTCCTGATGATGCTGATATCCGGACCAGAATCCTAAGTAAACTTGAACACTGTCCTAACATGACCCTACAGGAAGTAACTACCGAGTGCCAAAGGTTAGTGAACTTGAAGCATGATACTTCAATGGTAGAAAACGGTAACTGTCCCCATAATGTCAATGCAGTCAAGAGAAAATCCTTGCAAGGTTCCAGCACACCTAATTATCGTAATAACGGTGACAAACCATCATCTCCATGCTGGGCATGTGGAGGCTGGCACTATAAGAGGTTTTGCCCGTATAAAGAACATTGTTGCAGTAAATGTCATCGAAAGGGCCATATAGAAACCAGCTGCAGGAAAAGAAACTATAAACGACATTTTGCAAAATCTTACTTCAAGAAATACAGGTCAGGGGCATTAACGAAAAGAATATTGGTATCACATAACAAAGCTCGAAGGTGCCGCCAGAGAAAGTACGTAACCTTGAATATTAATAAACATAGCATTCGACTTCAGCTTGATACTGCTTCTGATATTACTTTGATAAGTCCAGAAACTTGGAAGAAGATTGGGCGACCCTCGGTGCATCGAACAACACAAATAGCACACAGTGCATTTGGTGGAAAGCTAAACATTGTTGGAGAGATACCTTGTATTGTGTCTAAAAATGCTGTTACAACAAATGCAACAGTGTATCTTACAAAGAAGCCAGCACTCGACTTAATGGGGTTGGATCTTATAGAAACACTTGACCTAGCAGACCACTCTATTAACAGTATCTGTAAACGAATCACAACTTACAACACCTCAGAGTGGAGTCAGAAAAATGCCATGCTACAAAAACACCAAGACGTGTTTCAAGAAGGATTAGGCGAGTGCACGAAGGCTAAAGCAGTGCTAACTGTAAAGCCTGCAGCTACTCCCATTTTTCGACCTAAAAGACCTGTGCCCTATGCTGCTCTTCCAATAGTTGAGCAGGAATTACAGCGACTTCAGCAAATGGGTGTTATCGAGCCTGTGAACTTCTCGAACTGGGCTGCACCAATAGTGGTGGTCAAGAAGTCGAATGGAAGTGTCCGTCTATGTGCAGACTACTCCACAGGATTAAATGAAGCTCTAGAGTCACATCAGTATCCGTTGCCCTTACCAGAAGATCTTTTCGCTAAGCTGAACGGTGGCAGATATTTTGCGAAATTGGACTTATCAGACGCATATTTTCAAATCCCGGTATCTGATGAAAGCAAAGGTCTTTTAACGATCAACACACACAAAGGTCTGTTCCGGTATAACCGACTACCTTTTGGGGTGAAGACAGCGCCTTCTATTTTTCAGCAAATTATGGATACCATGTTACAAGGTATTCCAGGGGCAGCAGCTTACTTAGACGACATCATAATTATGGCAGTAGATAAAATGGACCTGCAGAAGAAACTAGACCAGGCACTAGAACGCGTAGCCGATTATGGTTTTCGACTCCGACCGGAAAAATGTGACTTCTATATGCAGCAAGTACGGTACCTGGGGTTCATAATAGATAAAGACGGAAGACGACCAGATCCAGAGAACATTGAAGCGGTAAAAACAGTGCCTAGACCCAGGGACATTACCACCCTACGATCATTCTTGGGGTTGGTCAGCCATTATGGTACCTTCCTCCCTGATCTCCATCGTCTACGTTCTCCACTAAACAACCTATTACAAAAGAATACGAGATGGAATTGGTCTGCAGACTGCCAAGCGTCTTTCGAGAAAATCAAGCAACTCCTGATTTCCAATCTTTTATTGACACACTATGATCCTCCTCTACCGATAGTCGTCGCTTCAGATGCTTCTAACTATGGTGTGGGTGCAGTTATCTCTCATATTTTTCCTGATGGGTCTGAAAAAGCTATCTCACACGCTGCCAGATCTTTGACAACGACCAAAAGGAACTATAGTCAGATTGAAAAAGAGGCCCTATCAATTATCTTTGCAGTGAAGAAGTTCCATAAGATGATATATGGCCGACATTTTACTCTAATAACAGACCATAAACCACTACTTGCAGTTTTTGGGTCAAAGAAAGGTATTCCAGTTCATACAGCTAACCGACTCCAACGATGGGCAACCACACTTCTTGGTTACGACTTCAAGATAAAGTATCAGTCTACTACCGCCTTCTGACAAGCTGACGCATTGTCAAGATTAATAGGCTCCAAATCAAAAACCCCAGAGGAGACTCTTGTAGCAAGTATAAAAGCCGAGGAAGAAGTTCATCGGGTATTGGATGACGCAATCAATGGACTCCCAGTAACCTTTGAAACTATCAAGAAGATCACTGAATGCGATAAGATACTGAGCACAGTCAAATGCTATCTCTCGTCCAAATGGCCAAACAATCGCCTTGACGGAGAACTTTTGCAATATTTTCGTCGACGGGACTCACTAATGGTTGTTGACTCGTGTATTATGTTCGGTGATCGAATTGTTATTCCGAAGTTATTACGTCACAAGGTTCTCAAGCAGTTTCACAATGGCCATCCTGGAATAAATGAAATGAAATCGTTGGCTCGTAGTTATGCTTATTGGCCGTCAATGGACAAAGATATCGAGAATAAATGCCGTAACTGTCCATCATGCATTCAAGCTGCTAAAAATCCTGTGAAATGCGAACCTCAGTATTGGCCTACGCCTGCAGGACCCTGGGAAAGAATTCATGCAGATTTTGCTGGTCCAATCCAAGGAAAAATGTTTCTAATTATCGTAGATGCATTTACTAAATGGCCGGAAGTATATACCATGCCAAATTATACAACCTCAGAAACAATCTACAAGCTGTCTACCCTGTTTAGCTGTTTTGGAGTACCAGAGACCTTAGTAACAGACAACGGCTCGCAATTCGCCGCAGAATCGTTTAAGCATTTCTGTAAAGCAAACGGAATAACTCATCTTCGTTCTCCACCCTATCATCCACAATCTAACGGACAAGCAGAACGCTTCGTGGACACTTTTAAACGAGCATTACTGAAGGGAGGAGGCGAAGGGCCGACTGGCAGGTGATCACGAAATTTTTAACATCCTACAGATCCACTCCGAATCCGAATGTTCCGGACGGCAAGTCTCCTGCGGAAGTCATGTTCGGAAGACGTGTTCGAACCGTCTTCAATGCCATGTTGCCATCCCAATTAGTTGATGAGCGCAGTCACAATCCAAGTATTCGGAACTTCAGTGTCGGCGACAAAGTTTGCATTAAATCCTACATCGGGAAGAACCGATGGGAGCCAGGAGAAGTCGTACAAAAATTGGGAAGAGTTCTATACAGAGTTCGAGGAACTTTTGGGATGTGCATATGACACACAAATCAAATCCTTAAAGACAAAAGAATGATGCAGAATCGAAGTAACCCGCCGAATTTTCCGTTAGATTTAATCTTAGACGCACCAACGCCACAAACGCCAAAGAACACTGGAAGGAATTTGTGAACAGGGAAGACGACCAGAATAATGGGACGACGTCGCAACCCAGTTATCAAACTACAAGTTGACCCTAGGAAGAAGTCTTATTCGGGGGAGGTGTTAAGTCGGCTTCCCGCGAACTCCAACAGAGCCCCCAGAGGCTCAAAAAGAGTCCCAACCAATCAGAGTACGACAGAACATTCTGGAGTTCCAACGTGGCACGCTACCATTGGTCAGTAGCAATATATGTCGTTTATTGGATTGGCTGAATTAGGATGTTGATTTAACTTAAGCAAACATCTATAAATACTTACGATTTTCTGTACAAAACTGATCCTTGCAGTAAAGGTTTTCTCTGCTACTCGTGTCTTCTCTCTGGTCTTCAAGTTGCTGAGTAGTGCTAGCCTGGGGTTATTCGTATAGCTTAGGATCTGAATAAGCGTTCAACCCACAAGACATATCAGTTTTTACATGAAGGTATCGGTAGTCCTCTGCTGCTAGATACAGAAACCCGTTAGGTAGAAGCTTCTATTCCGCGCAGAACAATTTGGACACAAAGTAGCCATTGATCAATAACCTGTGCGTTCATACTTTTAAAATCTTAATGCGACGTTACAAATTTTTTTGCACAATTAGTATCCTTCATGATCCGCACACAAACTTCAAGGATTTGTTCATTCCTTACAGTCCCATGACTTACTTGAAGGTCGTAGTTAGCTCGTCTTAAAATTTCCGCTACAACGAGGTGTGTTTATTTTCTCTAAATTTACTTCAGAAGTGTTACTGAAACAAATTTTCGAATTAAGAAACTTACACTTTTGACTGTATAGTAACGTTTAGATATTTAGGGTATTGTTTCCATAGTTTTCGTTAATGTGGTAGATAGGTACAGTATCAAGAGATGTTTCTGTAATTACAGAAACATGGGTGAGCCTACTCATAGATGAAGTTTAAAAGAGGTTAAGGTTACCTTGAGAAAATTTAAAAACTACTCGGGTCATAAGATAATTATAAATTAATGTAAGGAACTAGTATTACGACTTAAAGTTAAAAGGTAAGGTTAGTAATAAAAGTTAGTTTTTCATCACTGATTGACGTCACTTATAATGTTGAAATGCTATTTAGCCATATGGATAAATGTATGTTGCACCAGAATCTGGGTTTTTCTATCCTATGTCTCATCGCTTTGTTCATAAATCATAGTCTCGCCTCTTATGCACTACATAATTGAGTCGATTACCTCATCTATATTTATCTGTAGTCTCTTATGCTTTAAGGAGTAGGAAGTCTTTTTTGATGTGTTCTTACACATTCTAACTATTACCGGTCTCTAAAACAATATTATGGCTGTCCAAATTACTATTAAATCCTAATGCAACATGCAATCATTCTAACAATACAAATTCCATACGCTACCACCAAATAAACCGATAAAGAGCTTTTATTCTGTTAGCTTCAACAGTTTACAAGTTTGGCATGTGTCGGGTTGATTTAAATTAAAGGAAATTTCATTCTTCCTTATGTTGTTCAGCCTATCCCTTCAATTTCTCTACCATACTTCCCGCAGAACACGAGGACTCGGGTAATTTTGCGGGACTACATGACACCATTAATGTGGGTCTGCTGCCCAAACAACAAATAAAAAGGTAAAACGCGTTGAAAACATGGAGGAAATTATAGGAGGACGCGCCTAAATGTCTGATTTTTCGCCTGTCCGGGGAAAATAATGCGAATTTTCCCATTTATGTTGCTCTGCCTTTCAAATGTCGATCAAGTGTCCACTTTTCGCCTAAATATTCGCCGGATTGTCTACGTTTCGCCTATATACACACCAATTTACCATATTTTGCATCCACTCTTAAAACACATTTCGCATCACCCTGAACATCATTGTTCGCCTTGATTTCCACAGCACACCACACCGAAACTGTAATCTACGTTAAAAATGGCATATGTCCAAAAATTTATTGAAAAAAGAAAGCGTATTGTTGTACAACATTATGAGTAGTTGATAAATGCTAGATCATCAATCGTTATATTTTAGTTGTAATTGCCAAGTGTCATTGTAATTTGAAAAGAGCTGCAAAAGAAAAAAACAGGCGATGTTTTATTAATAAGGCACATGTACTTAATTACAAATGTATTTAAATTCAAATAGGCTTTCTCAAAATTTAGTCAAAGAGTTTCCCATGCAAATAAGCACATGTTTAAAAAACCGTTTATTGAAAACGGAGTTGAACATGATAAACATTACACGGATTATTTCTTTTCGTAACGCCTGTTCGACTATTGAGAATCAAAGTAATCTTGTGGATTTTCAAATGTAAAGAATAAGAAAGGTCACTACATCTGAATGACATGCTTTTGCACAACTAGCTACTTGAAACTGAACTTACTGTTACGTTTGCTAACACTGAAGACTGTACTTATAGAGCAGTAGAGAAAAGTAATCACTTTAAATAAGTACATACGTGTTCTTCCTTTCTTCGATTACGTTTTTGTACTTTGTCTCTCATATCGTGAAAATAACCTTGCGTCGCGATGTCATACAATTTCGCAAGGTCTTTTTCGTTGACAGATGATGACAGGAATCAGTTATATATATATATTACTTACTTACTTTCGCCTGTTACTCCCAATGGAGCATAGGCCGCCGACCAGCATTCTCCAACCCACTCTGTCCTGGGCCTTCTTTTCTAGTTCTTTCCAGTTCTTGTTCATTCTTCTCATGTCTGTCTCTATTTCTCGGCGTAATTTGTTCTTTGGTCTTCTCCTTCGACCTTCAGGATTCCATGTGAGGGCTTGTCTTGTGACACAATTGGGTGATTTCTTCAAAGTGTGCCCAATCCACTTCCAGCGCTTCTTCCTGATTTCTTCCTCCGCTGGAATCTAGTTTGTTGTCTCCCACAGTAACTTGTTGCTGATAGTGTCTGGCCATCGGATCCGAAGTATCTTGCGTAGACAGCTGTTAATAAACACTTGTATCTTCTGGATAATGGCTTTCGTAGTTCTCCACGTCTCTGCCCCATACAGAAGAACTGTCTTCACATTTGTATTGAAAATTCTAACCTTGGTGTTGGTTGACAATTGTTTTGAGCTCCAGATGTTTTTCAGCTGTAGGTATGCTGCTCTTGCTTTGCCGATCCGCGCCCTCACATCTGCATCTGATCCACCGTGTTCATCAATGATGCTGCCCAGATATGTAAAGATTTCCACATCCTCCAAAGCTTCTCCGTCAAGTGTAATTGGATTGGTGCATATTGTATTGTATCGGAGAGTCTTGCTTTTCCCTTTGTTTATATTGAGACCTACTGCTGCTGAGGCTGCTGCTACACTGGTCGTTTTCTCCTGCATTTGTTGTTGCGTTTGTGATAGAAGAGCCAGATCATCCGCGAAGTCTAAATCGTCAAGCTGCATCCTGCCTGTCTACTGTATCCCGTGATTTCCTCCAGATGTTGACGTCTTCATAATCCAGTCGATCACCAGGAGAAAGAGAAAGGGTGAGAGTAGGCAACCTTGCCTAACACCGGTCTTTACCTCGAACGAGTCGGTGAGTTGTCCTCCGTGGACGATTTGGCAGTTTAGTCCATCATAGGAGTTCCGTATGATGTTGACTATCTTCTCAGGCACGCCGTAGTGTCGAAGAACCTTCCATAGTGTCGTCCTGTCCACGCTATCAAATGCCTTCTCGTAGTCGATGAAGTTGATGTACAGTGATGAATTCCATTCGATTGATTGTTCCACAATGATACGTAGAGTTGCGATTTGATCTGTGCACGATCTATCCTTACGAAATCCAGCTTGTTGATCTCGAAGTTGAGCGTCCACGGAATCCTTCATCCTGTTTAACAATACTCTGTTGAAGACTTTTCCTGGTATTGAGAGAAGAGTGATGCCCCTGTAGTTGTCGCACTTGGTCAGATCGCCTTTCTTTGGTATCTTGATGAGAAGTCCTTCTTTCCAGTCTGTTGGTACATGTTCTTCGTCCCAAATCTTACCGAAGAGGATGTGGAGTATCTTGGCAGTTGCTGTTACATTTGCTTTCAGTGCCTCTGCCGGGATGTTGTCTGGTCCCGCTGCTTTGCCACTCTTGATTTGTCTAATGGCCATGCTGATCTCTTCAATTGTTGGTGGGCCAATATCGATTGGGAGGTCTGTGGGTGCTGCTTCGATGTTGGGTGGGTTCAGTGGAGCTGGTCGATTCAAGAATTCTTTGAAGTGTTCTACCCACCTGTTTCGTTGTTCTTCAATATCGTTGATTACTTTGCCTTCCTTGTTTTTCACTGGTCTTTCTGGTTGACGGTAATTTCCAGCAAGTTTCTTTGTTGCATCATACAGTTGTCTCATGTTTCCCTCTCTTGCAGCCTTTTCCGCTGTCATCGCTAAATCTTCCACATATTTACGTTTGTCGGTCCTGATGCTCCTCTTCACTTGCTTGTTTGCCTCTGTGTATTCGGCTTGTGCCTTGGCTTTTTCTGCTCTTGTTCGGCTGATATTGATTGCTACCTTCTTGTTCCTCCTTGCTTCAATTTTATCCAGTGTACCAACAGTGATCCATTCCTTGTGATGGTGCTTCCCGTGGCCCAGAACCTCCTGACATGTTGAAACGATTGCCTCCTTGATACCTTTCCAGCTGCTCTCTATGGTGGTTCCCTCTCCATTGAGTAGGTCATGAAAGGCCTGGAACCTGTTGCTGAGGGCTATGTTAAATTCGTTGAGTTTGTCAGCATCTCGAAGAAAGGCCGTGTTAAACTTTTGTGATGTTGTCCGCGCCATTGTCCAGTGCTTCTTGAGTTTTAGTTTGATCTTGGCGACCAGCAAATGGTGATCGGATGCTATATCAGCTCCTCTTCTGGTTCTCACATCCTCCATCGTCCTCCTGAACTTTTTGTTGATGCAGACATGGTCGATTTGATTTTGTGTAGTGTGATCCGGTGAAATCCAAGTGGCTTTGTGTATGTTTTTGTGTGAGAATATGGTGCCACCTATGACCAGTTTATTGAAGGCACATAGGTTTGCAAATCTCTCACCGTTTTCGTTCCTTCCTCCCAGTCCATATTGTCCCATGACGTCTTCGTATCCAGTGTTGTCCTTTCCAACCTTGGCATTGAAATCTCCCATTAGAATGGTCAGGTCTTTGGTTGGGCACTTCACGAAGATCGACTGCAGCCTATCGTAGAATTGGTTTTTAGCGTCTTCATCGTAGTCGTTGGTCGGCGCATAGCATTGGATGATGTTCATTGTAATGCCCTCTCTCTTTGTTCTGAAGGAGGCTTTGATGATCCTCGGTCCATGAGATTCCCATCCTATAAGTGCATTTTGTGCTTTTCTGGACAGCATCAGTGCCACTCCTTGTGTATGTGGGGCATTTCCTTCTTCATGACCGGAGTATAACAGAAGTTCCCCTGAAGACAGTCGTTGTTGTCCAACCTGCGTCCAATGTGTTTCACTGATTCCAAGCACTTCCAGGTTGTATTTCCTCATTTCCGCAGAAATTTGGAAGACTCTGCCGGTCTCCCACATTGTCCGGACATTCCATGTACCTATAAAAATTGTCGCTCTGGTTGTAAGAAGGTGAATCGGCCTCATGACTTCCGAATGAACTCGGCTTTCATCATGAGACGTCATTTTTCCTTCTACTCCCAGGGCAGAGTTTGAATGGTTTGAATGATTTTTTCTGGTTAGCGTTTTTTTAGCGAGTTGATTTTCTACGGGATGGGGTCGCTAACCCCATGCCCAACCCTCCTCCTTTACCCGGGCTTGGGACCGGCAGTAGCCCCTGGAGGAGCTACAGGCGGAGTTATATATATATATATAACTTCGTATGGAGCCGTAAAGCCTACACTTCTAAAGTGCTCGTTTTGATGAAGTGCCAAGTAGCGTGGAGTTACTGGCAACTTCAGGTGTCATGATGTACGATAAAATACATCTCACTGACGTTTTAGGATCATCATTCATTAAACGCGTCAACATGGTCATCTGTAATACGAACAAATGATCAAATTAATGCTGTTGGCTTACAAATATGTCCCTTACTTCTTTCTACTCTAGACAAGCGTCCAGCGTTCCCAGTTCCTCTTCAGATGACAAAGGGAACTGTTGACTTGATAGTCCGCAATCAAACTGTCGCGGATGTTCGCACTCAGTTGACTTTGACAGTAGCTGCTTCATATTTGCACTCAATTTAGAAATACCTGACGGTATGTTCTGCAGCACAGTATGCAGTCTGTCAAATCTAAAAAAACTTAACTTGATCGTACAGGTGACTTAATCTGTTGCTAACGCACTGCCTACACGCCTAGATTCGTACTTTGATGGCGACGTATCTATTTGTATGGGACTACTCAATTCACATCTACAAAATAAAGAAACCTATTTGGCAATCAGCGAGGCAACACTGTCGAACAACCGAAATTCGGGATATTAAACGCGGTTATTTTCAGCCTGCATCTCAGCAACATCCATGTCATCGGAATTATAAAGAAACCCTTCTTTACGCTTCAATGCACCTCTACGAAATTTTAGTAAGATTATTGTACTGACCTCTTCTGCTTCTCAGTGTTCCGTGTCAAGGTGTTTTCGTCCGTCGAACTGTTCATACAGTAAACATCAAAGTTTTTGAAGGAGACCAACAAATCATTGGCAGATTAGAGAATATCTATAGGAAATGATCGTTTGCATGTTTGTAACTTACCACATTCGTAAATAACCTTACACTGCAGGACTGACCAATTGTCATCTGGTCGGTCACTGTTTTGTAGGTGCATATCAAGCAGCTCCGTTGGATAAAGACAAAGTTCTTCACCAATAATCCAGTGTCTGGCTGCAATCACTAGCTGCTTCTTGCTTGGTGCATCTATAATTACGTATTTTTTGTTAGCGGGATAAATATTACACAAGAGGAAATGAAGCAAAATACATTCACATAAAAGTATGTAACAACGGAACAATAACTGAATAATGAACACAATTTATTGCAATAAATTTACAGTCAATATCCTTAATCGAAACCCATGTGTATTCATTACTAAATACCGAGCTCATTAATATTCCTACATTACTAGAAGGGAAGGAATCTTCGAAGTAATTACGTCAGTCTGTGAAAGGCCTGAATTTTAATAGTCCATTCTCCCGTATATCAGTGACTACGCCAGGCTTTGCATATACTACTACAACATTATCGGGCTTAAGTGAAGTTATTTTACTACTTATATGCATAAGTACTTGTTTTTGTGAATCCGCCTTACCGGTTATCGGCGTACTGTCAGTTGAAATAATCACTTGAAGCCTATCGCAGAGAGACATTTTTTCTGCATAACGCTGAGCTGCTTGCTTCGCAACAGAATACCCACTATGCACGGATTTCTTAATTTGTCTCATATGAGACTCAAATGAGAATGCTTAGTAACTATCTAAAGATCCATGTGCACGAACATTGTCAGGAAGGTGCTGTAACGAATGTACATTAGAAACTAAGTTTTCAAACCCATGAAACCATTCATATTCTCTAAGAAAGTCCCCTAAATCCATTCTGACGGATTTTATAACGCTGTTGTGTAATTTTGGGTGTGCAAGCAAATAAACTGGTAAAGCTAGACGCTTTAAATTAAGATACAAAGGTTACGGCAAAGTATTTTGCAGAATTACGAAGCCAAAATATAGGAGAAACAGTCTACACTCCTCCGCTTTCCATACGGATACGAAATCTGGTGTACGACATTTACGCTGAAAGTCGGACGGAGTACTTTCCATGCAACCAAAAATTAACTTATTTATATCCCTAATTACACATAAGTTGAAGTTCGTCAGTCTTTTTTGTTCTAATTCTATCCAGAGATTGACAAATTTCTTTGTGACAGCTAAGTACACCATGTGCATAGGATGTAATGGGAAAGTAGAGATCACGTTAATTGGAAGCGTTTCGAAAATGGAATGGCCTTCATGGTGAATAAATTAAGTCTAATGACGAAAGCTATCGTCAGTTCGTAATGTATATTCACCATTCGGAAAAATCATCTTCCCTTCGAGCCGTCTACCAACTACAATACACCTGTCTCAACCTACCTTTACATTGTGATTAATCGTGTATCTAACATCAGAACGAGCAGGTGTATTACAAATCACAGCAGACAACTTAATAGCTATGTATTTATGGAAATTAACACTCAGCAGACCCACGTCGGTCATTTATTTTATTTTAGAAATGGTGTCCGCAGAAATTTCGTTGGATTCTACCGGCTTAGTACTCCCTTTACAGATCCCTATCATGAACACATCACTTAATCTTGGGGCAACGATCTGTCCTGATACAGACTCGTTACATTTACCTACATAGTGTTTATGACCTAAGGCGCTCTAGCTAATTCGATTAGTCGCTCGCAGGATCATCGCACTTAGGTATCCAGTTGTAAATACATGTATTGATCAATGGGATAACTATATAAACACTGGCAAGATAAATCTGTTTATTCACCAATAAATATATGTATGCATCTTGCGTTGGGATCATCTACCATCATATTGGTTTTCAGACAGATAAACATGATCTAGGCATTTTACAGCCTTAATAGTACCGATTCATCCTGTTTCGCAACTACATAGACACTAAAGACTCTAATGGGTCGTTCGCACTATATTGATGTATTATTTCGGATGCCCCCAAATGCCCTGGTACGGCCGAGAGTGGGGAGAGTCACCTCTCCCTCTCGAAATGCTCTCATATGGCCAGCGAATATATAGCCTCTGCCAGGGAAGTCCTACTCACTGCCTTCTCGTGGCATTACTGTTGTTTACGAAATTGAGAGGACGAAAAGCGAATGTCCGGCGCTTTAACCGGATTTGTGGACATGGAAAGTTCACCTAGGGGAGTTGGAAAACCCTGATTACTAACCAATGGTGCACATGGGCTCCAGTATCCTGAGGGAACAAATGGCGTACGAATCAACCGTTGATCACCGGCTACCATGGGACTGCATCTCCTCACGATGCTCCACTGCCTTGTGGATCAGAAATTCAGGTCAAAGGCTCGGGGTGTGGCCCCCTAAGAAAACCACCTGCTTCAGTCTGGGCACCTGAGCAGTATCACAGCCCTCACACAAATCGAATGAGATTTGTGAGGCGCATATTTATCTGGTGCTTATTTATATTTATGTGTTTAAATAAATAAAAATAAATAATTTCGGATCACAAATTTCATCGATCAACTACATAAATCAGGAACAGATAAATTCTGACCTACTTCGCTTGCAAAACTGTTACACATTATTTTGTGTTAGTGATATGTATTATATACAAGGGACACGGGCCGATGAAAACGTAGGAAGCAACCACTAAGGTCTATTATTTAAATTGACCAACAAGCTAATTTAACATATGAGTGACCACTAAAATCTGTCTAGACAACAGCGATATCATTAGTACATTTCCAAATACTTAGGAGACCTTAAATCCTTCCTATTAATACAATTCACACTGTACAACAGAGCCGTTAAGGTATTCAGCGAAGAAGTGTAATTTGAAATACTGAGGCTCAAACACATCTCATTCCAAGATGCCATTAGTATGTCCCCCAATCAGTCATATCGAATTTCTGGAATTTTCATTCTTTGTTGGTTGTCGCAGGGGTACCTCAGTAGAAAGCCAACTGGTATCAAAATAATTACCGCTTGACAAACACATGTCCCATTTGCACCCCAAACCAATCTTATGTATTTACGCTAAAATCTATCCAATCGCCAACTTACCAGGGCTGATAACGCTCCAAAGTAATGTGCCAGCTCATTTGACTACTTGGTAGCTTGTAATCGGATTAGGCATTGGTGCAGACCAGTATTGCAGCTATATTTCATATTTAAAGAAATAGGAACGCATTTAAATACTTTTTCATCCTTATTAAGACCATTTGGGAGACTCAGTGTTCTACAAATCTATTTATTAAGTAAAACTATGTCATCTAGATTCTTTTAGCTTATGAGGATTCTAAAAGCAGATACATAAAAATGCTAACGATAAATAGCGGAAATCCATATTCCTGACAAGAATTACTTGATATAACCTGTTTAGGTGATAGTACTTCGGAAGTTTTGATTCGATCGACACTATCGAGATTAAGTCTTCAGTCGGTTTATGTACTTCTTCGGTGCACCTTTCAGCAATATCTGATTTCATGAAATCTCTTTGATGGTAGTTGGATTTTCCAATTTTTGTGAACACTAGGGGACGGAGTTCTTTCTTCCGGGACTTTAGCTCCTAAAGCATTGACTTCAAATATTTTCAGAGAAAATGTAGGTTTAAGTGGGTAAATATTATCCTTTGTTTTGGGTTTATTGCTTTCAAGTGAATGTAAAATAGGTTGCTTAACTTATTTCTGTAAAAAGTGAGTAATTCTCTAACTGGTTAAGTAGTAAATTCTATACCTTTAGATTGCATCAAAATGCGGCAGTCATATATATGCTTATTAAGCCGTTATCTCGAAGGAAATAACCTTCAGGTTTATTACCTCACAGACTAACCGGAAGTTTATGCTTTTATTTAGTGGGAAAGTAAAAAAAATCCAACATTCTAGAAAGCTGGCCACACGTTTTCAGTAAACAAACTTTTCTTATTCTAATATGAAATTTTGTAACAGTAGGATTCTTGAGTAGTTCGAAAAAGAATTTACCTATGTCATGTGCTGGAGATATTTTAGAAATCCATCAGGCAGAAATACCGTTGCATTCGTGTTAGGTGTTGGATGGATATACATCCCTTCCTAGATAGGGCTTTTTCTCGTTGCTATTTCAGATTTTCACCTCTGGGTCGTGAATTATTTACTGCATAGTATCTTTCAAAGAACAGGAACCGATCTGCCACTTGAATTTTCGTACTTATTGTGTTAATTTTTAGATTTATTTCGTTAATTAGTTATCAGTCTAAAGTTCTTAAATATCCTCTACTTTGCACATTTTAGATCAAGTTGCCATTGTATATTAATACTGCAAACACAGGCCAAGCTAAATGTTGATGAATGATCCACTGATAATTAAAGGACTAACTGGTAGGCTTGAAATGATGTCTACTTTTATTAAAACAACAATTCTCTAGTTATTTACTGGAGCTATTTAAATTCGGTCCATCTCGTTCTTCATGAAAGTGTCTGACAAAATAGACCTGTTATTTTATTTGGTCAGGTTATTTTCATAATCAAATGTAAATAAGGATGTTTCAGTATTGTGCATACTGCTTTCGATTGTATTACGAATTGTCATCTCACTTTACGTAGCGTTTAGGAAATTGGCTAGTACCATCATTTTCTGCACCATTGATGTGGTTCATATTGTCGTACATCAACCTGTTGATAATTAATAAATCCAAACTGTCAAATTCATTGAGAATGCGTTTTGTATTTTAATAGACAAGTACGGGTAATCAATTTTTATTTCGAGTATCGAGGTATATAAGGATTGTAGGATCATTTAAATGAGATATTCAATATATGTATAGGCCAGTTGCTACTGATTATTTATTAACCTTTAACAAACCAGTTTTGCACAATAGTATATTCGTTTAATTATTTTAAATTGTAGCGATTCCCGTGAGTTTGGGGAAATGTATTACTCACTTTATGTATGCAGAAAAATTGGGGGAAAAATCTATTCTAATTTACAATGTACATCCTTTAATGGACGCGGTAATTGTTCGATAATTTGTTTGTAATATATTTCTAACTCTATAGAAGTCGTTGTTGGATTTCTTTAAATCATTTGGTGAAATAACTAGTTTACGCTACTCACCAGTAGGCTTTCACAATTATTTTGTCTGATTGACTTTTTGAAATTCATTAGCCTGAAGCCCGATGTGTCTTTGAATTTAACGAATCACAATGTGTAGAAAAAATTCTAGTATCTCCAATGAATACAACTTACGAGTTCAGCTTGACCGATATTAACATTCCTGGTATGTTAAAATTATGTTCTAGATGATTTTAATTATAACAGAATGCTATTTAACTCGAAATCCCGAATGGATAATAGATTATCAAAAGTCTAAAAGTGATTCGGAAGCTATTCTACAGAATTATTTCAAGAAACGTATGGAATACAGTAATAAACCTGATGATGACGGTTGGATCACGGTCAGAAAAGGACTGCGACTTTAATGCGGATTATATTTTTACTTCTACTTCTGTAAATTTGATTCAAATTTATGCAATAGATGTTTCATCGTGAAGCTCATTTATGTCTGCTTACCTTCAGCCATCTGCAATTTTATATTTATGTCTTCAGGGATTTCCTATTCCTTTATTATTAAGACAATGCTATAAATGAAAGAATTGGTAGTTCATAACACGAAACAGTAACCTCCAATTATTATTTGTCTTGAAATTTTGAGTATTGTAGAAATAAACTGAGTTCAGACGTGTCTTGTGGAAGAAAATCAATTTATCACTAAGATAACTTTAATAATTTGTTTAATTTTAGTGATATTCATCCAAAACATATAGCATAATAACTATTCATTAGGAGAAACACAATTCTATTATAGTGTTTGGTTATGAGATGTTGCCGGGTAATGAAATCATATAAAGCTGACGACAGGCAAATAATTTGCATATTCAGTTAGTCTTCGTCATTAACCCTAGACTTTGTTATTGGCTTACATATTTATTTATTTAAACATATAAACATTGGTACAAGGAAGTACGAAATAGATATGCGTCACATAAATCATTCGACTTTTGTGAGGGCTGGGATACTGCCCAGATGCCCATACCGAAACAGGTGGTTTTCTAGGGAGCTGCACCCGGAGCATTTGACCTAAAGGTCTAATCCACAAAGCAGTGGAGTAACGTCAGGAGATGCAGTCCCATGGTAGCCAGTGACTAATAATTGCTTTATACGTCATGGCCGGTAAGAGTAGAGGATATTCGTAGGCTACTAGTGTTCGATCATAGGTGTCTTCGAAGCATTGCTCGTATATCCTGGGACCACCGGGTAAGTAATGCAGTTGTTAGGAAACGAGTACTAGGTAGGGATGGCAAATCGATTGATGAAGTAGTGAAACTTCATCAGTTGAGATGGCTGGGACATGTGTTACGTATGCCCGACCACCGACTGCCCCGACGTGCAATGTTTCATGGTGTAGGAGTAGGTTGGAAGAAAGCCAGGGGTGGCCAGACCAAAACGTGGCACAAATCAATGAAGTCACTGACAAGTGGACTGGGCCATGTTGGTAAGTGTAGACTACCTGGTTGGGATTCGCGAGATGATAGCAACCGATGGTTAGAGACCTTGAATGACATGGCTCAAAATCGTTTGCAATGGCGAAGATGCATCCACTCTTTGTGTTCTACCAAATTCTAATCTTCTGAATTTCTCATGTCTTTATGTTTTTCTCCTTCCAAATATATTTCACTGTACTATACTCCTTCAATAACATCTTCAAACTCTAATCTTTCCGATTACTGCTTATACTCTTACTAATTCTTCCACTATGGGATTTGAATCGACAATTGTATCTCTGTGCTAATGTGGTATGGCAACTCGAACTGATGTACGTACGTACGAAGTTCTACGTTGTGACTGACTGACTGACTGACGTCATTTGTTCCCTCAGGATCCTGGAGCCCATGTACACCATTGGTTTGGAATCAGGGTTTTCCAACACCCTTCTATGGACTATTCGTGTCCACCAACGTAGTTAAAGCGCTGGATATTTACTTTTCGTCCTCTCAATTTCGTAAACAACACCCCCGTTACGAGAAGGCAGTGAGTAGGACTTCCCTGGCAGTAGTTTTATGCACTTGTCCACTTAAGAGCATTAGGAGAGGAAGAGCTAGCTTGCGGGCTAGCTTACATGGTCGATTGATAATTTACTGATATATAGTTTAGGTCGCACAGTTGATGAATAATCATTAGAGTATCAGTAATATGAGTGAATGATTAACTAGTTTCGTCAAATTGCTACGAACCTCTACATCAAGTTGCCCGACCGCAGCTACCTTGACATGATGGTCATGCCTGTCTATCGTGATGACCCAGCCAAGCTATATTGGCCGGAACAAATGTTCCTGTAGGTTCTGCCATGCCATGCAGGTCGATTCGAGAACGGTAAGACTTAAAGCAGCAACTCAAGGTTCGAGGGCGAAGTCGTATTGCTGACTGTAGAGGGGTGTGACGGCTGTAAGGTGTTTCCCTCGGACAACCAGCATCTGCAGCGATGCTGCCTTCTCACAAGGAAGGACGGTTTTAGGAAAGGTCGACCCTAAAAATGACACACCTTACCTCATGGATTTCCGCCTCCGGCGGTGAGGCCTTTTGAAGAACTGAACTAGCACATCAAAAACTTCCCGCAAAAAGGCTATGCGTAACCGGCCTCAAGCAGTTGTTCCTTGGGCTTCGTGGCCACGCTCCCAGATCGTTAAGACCAACACTATCCAACTTTCTTTTCAGGTCACTCAAGAAATACCCTTCCGCGGTCTGAGCAGTCGGGAAGTGAGATTAGCCCTCATACCCGTAACAACACACGAGACCAAGTTGGTCACATTCAAATCTTTCTTTCACCTCCTAATAACTCTCTTGTCTTCACGACTAACCCTTTTCACGTTCCTTTATCACTTCGCGCCGCTAATGCAAACGATTCGAGTACGCGGAACGTTATTCCTGGTCTCCTTAAACCACGCTTTAAACTACATGTAGGAGCTCTTACCGTTCGAGCACTGTGCCAAATAGGACAACTGCATCTTTAGCTAGGACTTTAGAATCTCGCACCATCGATGTGTGCTGCGTCTCCGAAACGCGCATACACGATCTGATTAGTGTCATCAATTTGACTTCACCATGTCAAAATAAAGAACCATCTCGATTCACGCTTCGTGTATCTAGAAGCTCTAATGCTGCTTCCCCAGATGACATAGTCCTGTTTGGTGAAGACACTGACAAAATGCAGAGTCTTCTGTTGGAACTCAGTAATAATGCCAGGATGTTTGGGATGCGTTTCTCCCCATCCAAGTGTAAATTGTTACTCCAGGACTGGCCTGCGTCAACACCTGAACTAAGGATAGGGAGTGAAGTAGTCGAACGCGTCGACAACTTCACTTATCTTGGAAGTCTGATCAACCCTAATGGGTTGGTGTTAGACGAAATCTCAGCACGGATTCAAAAAGCTCGTTTGGCTTTTTCCAACTTACGTCACCTATGGCGAAGACGAGATATCCATCTATCAATTAAGGGACGAGTATACTGCGCAGCAGTTCGCTCTGTTCTACTCTACGGCTGCGAAACATGGCCATTAAGAGTAGAAGATACTCGTAGGTTACTAGTATTTGACCACAGATGCCTTAGAAATATTGCTCGCATCTGCTGGGATCACCGGGTAAGTAATAATGAGCTTAGACGCATGGTATTAGGGAATGATGGTAAATCAGTTGATGAGGTGATGAATCTTCATCGACTGAGATGGTTGGGCCACGTGTTACGTATGCCTGAACATCGATTACCACGACGCGCAATGCTGACTAGTGTAGGGGATGGTTGGAAGAGAGCTAAGGGCGGCCAAACCAAGACGTGCCATCAGTCCGCAAAGTCACTAACTTATAGTCTGAGCCATGTTGGTAGATGCAGACTACCTGGTTGGGGTCCGCGTGACTATCGTAATAAATGGTTGGAGACTCTGTGTGACATGGCTCAGAATCGATCACAATGGCGTAGGTGTATACACTCTTTATCTTCCCTTAAACCTTGAGATTAAAATTGCTTCATAACTTTTTTCCTTCCTACACTATATCCTTATATACAACCTTTCTTTATATACTACCACCACTAAATTAATTACTTCTATGAATCCGGTGTTCATCTTGTGCTAACGAGGTATGGCAACTTGGACCAATGCATATATGTGCCTGGTCCTACGTTGTCGCTGACTGACTGAATGCTGCTTCCCGTGGCTTCCTTGGCGTAGGTATAGCATTGAGTCCTATGGTAGAACTAACCCTCTTAGACTGGATCTTGGTAAACAGTCCTCTGTACGCTGCCCGACTAAACTGAACAATAAGGGCTCGGAAAGACAGGGATACTCGTCGTTGCCTCTTCGTCGTCTCTACCTACTCTCCCACTGACTGCAGCTCAGATGATGTAAAAGATGAGTTTTACAGAAAGCTTTTCGACCTTCTTCGAAAAGCTAGGCGCTCTGATGTAGTAATAGTGGCTGGTGACTTTAATGCTCAAGTAGGTAAACTAAGCGAAAAGTAAAGACACCTGAGTGGATCTTATGATGTCGTAGCTCAAAGAACAGATAATGGCGACCGTCTGTTGCAGCTATGCTCAGATAACCGCCTGTTTCTTGCAAATACTAACTTTAAGCATAAGGAGAAACATCTCTTGACATGGCGACCCCCGAATTCGTCCCATCACATCGCTATCAGCCACCGATGGAGGGGCTCGATAGAAGACTGTTGCTCATTCTGGAGCACATGTTTAGATTCAGATCATGCTCTAGTGCGAGCACCTATATATCTGCTTCTTACTGGACGTAGGAAAGACGCTGCGAGGAAGCCTCTCAGGGTTCTGCTTAATGATAGGCAAGCTAACAATATATTTCAGAGACAGATAGAAAAACAGTTAGGCAGCTATGTAAGTTGTGCCCACTCCGAGGCTGTGTGGAATGCCATCCGAAAAGCTGTGGAAACAGCAGTGATATCTGCTAGTACGGTAAACCATAAGGTTAGGGAGAAACACTGGACCTCAGCGGCATCTACCGCGCTAATATATGCTCGAAAACTGATCCCATCTGGCTCTGAACATAACGAAGAGCGGAGTCAACTTGAGCGCATGCTGATAAGAAGCCTACGCAATGATCGCGAGCAGTGGTGAGTAGCGAAAGCAAGAGAGATAGAAAATGCAGCGGCAATAGGCAACAGCAGACAACTGTTCAGACTTGTTAAAGAAACCGGTATTAGGAACCCAACTGTCAGCGAAACTATTTCGGAAAAAAATGGACATACCATTCATTCTCAATCCAGGAGATTCGATCGATGGGTAGAACACTTTAGGGATCAGTTTAACTGGCCTTCAGCTTCACACGACCTCCAGTTGACCTGAATGGCAAGTTGATGTAAGTCTTCTTACTCTTTACGAGGTTGAAAAAGCCATAGGAAATCTT